GGCCATGCCAGCCAGGAGGGCGGAGACGAAAACCTTGGTCTGCATTTTGAGAGATGAGGTTGGCTTTGCTGAGTGAAGCTGGGCTTGAGAGACTGAGAGGCTGTTGGAAGATGTCCTGAGTGAGCGTGGTGAAGAGAGGAGAACAAGAAAGGACTGTGAGGATAGTCTAAGAGTATTTATGTTGTTCAAAGTCGTCTCCTGAATATCATGACAATTTCCCCTAGGAGAGATTCCAAAATTCCATCGCGGAAAAGGAGTTTCACATTGATCGTAAAGGCCCAGACCATACAACACCAAATCACTAGCAACCGTCCGATATCTCCACCTACAATCATGAGAGCCAAGTGCCCAAGAATCTCCTTGGTGGAAATATCAGACGTTGGTACCGGTATACCACAAAAGCAATCAACTCTGGTACGCCATCACGGATCCTCGCCCGAGTACGTGGGTGGCGGCCGCGCTGCTCACCCAAGCATCCATGCTTCTCATGTACCGATGCCTATAACCCACCAATTGGCATGCTGTGGGATGAGAGCCGTCAACCTAGTCCCGGTAGTAAAAGGCCCCAGATAGTCTATATCATGGTTGGAGGCACTACGGCCGTGCCTAACTTCATCTGTTGTCTCTTCGACTACTTGGGACATCAAAGGTCTTGGACCTGTTGGGGGCGATAGTGGTCTATGGTGACTGCACTCATGGCTTACGGACCCCGACAACAAACAACCTGATGGAGCCAATGAGTGCACATCTTGTATGCACTTGCTGGCCCGGTAGGACTTGGCAGATAATCTACTCAATACGGGCAGGTAAGGGGGATGTCTTCAAGCACAGCCCCCTTTTGCGTGTGAGTCTCATCGGGGGTGGAGAAAGCAAGAGCTGCTTCCTGGCTAGGAAATGTAGGCGATGGTCGTCTCTTCTCTAGGAAGTTGGTGGTTGAGTATGTGGGTGCAGAGAGACGGCGTCCCGGGGGCTTGTTTCTCCAACTCGGGCATCTAGGCCCTTCCGATGGATGCTCCGAGCCCCACGTCCGAACCACTACTTAGAGGATCAAGACCGGGGTGTCTTCCTGTGCTAGTCACCTTTGGGTACGTTTCTAGAGACACAGAGACAGATTCGAGATGGGAGAGCATCACGCAACACGGCGCATCGCCCAAAGGAAAGGGCCAAAAGGGTGGTGTAAGCCGGCAACGTTCCCCATGAGGAAACGCTTCCCAGCGTGTGGCACACACTATCAGAAGCGGCAGGTAGGCGAGTAGAATCCTGACGGTTATCTGAGGTTATCTGATATCATCGCGGTTGGAGTGACATTCGGATCAAAGAGGCGAGCAGAATATCCCCAACCTGCAGCTGAGAATTTAAGCCTAAACAGTAGCTTACTTGCGCACATGCAGGGCCAATGGCGTTTAGGGGAAAAAGGAGCGCGCATCACTTCGACTACCGTGACTAATCCCGCAGACATGGAGCCGGGGTCAATAGCACTGGTGAACCGTGACCACTGCCACTGACAACTGGGGCGGGCAATTGTCTCGGTAGATCATAGAACGTGCTCCGGTACTGCAGTATGAATCCGGGGCTTTTCTCCGTCAAGTGTCACAAGATTGAACAAAGGTGCGGCCAGAACATTAAGAAGAGGGGCATTTGCGATGGAAAAAATAATAATGGAAATTGGACGGACGATGCCAAGAGCTTCGAGTCAAGCAAAGCGCGTCGACACTAAGGCCATTTGAGGCTCTTGGCACTGCAACCCCTTGCCAAGTCTCACCGCACCGTTGAGAGCCTTTGAGAGCAGATTGGCTCAACTTGCCCACGAAGAAACAACATTCAACATATCCCGTGTCTTGGCATCGCGCCAAGCCCCCTTCTGGATGCGATGGATGCTGTGGAGCCTGCAACTCATTGATGGAAATCTCCTTTTTCCATTGATCGGCAGCCTTCAAACCAGATGTATTTCGTCCGGTCGTGTTGGTCACTTGGTCCAAAGGAAAGGAAGACGGTGGATGGAGAGACAATTCGGACGCGTGATAAGCAAGATCGGGAATGCAACGATACAACATCTCTACAGTCTTTCCATACAGAAAACACGTGCATGGCTAAGACCCTTTCAGAGTATTTGAATAAGCCATATAATGAACACAATATGCGCACCCATGTTCCTTGGCCACGCAACCCTCAGGAAGTGAAGAGATACCTTGACCTTGCTGCGGCGGAAACTGACAACTCGGAAACAAATCTCTCAATCATTCTAGAATGAAGAACCCCATCTCACTTAGTCCATGTCTCTTGCAATACGAGTTCATCTACAAGACTCAAGACAAGACGTCGCAGGATGTGGGATCCGGATGAACGAACCACAAGTTGCCTAGCGTCAAGATCTAGTGTGATGAGATTGCGTACTTCCATGAGCCTTGAATTATCTTTGCTCAACAAGCAGCCCTACAACTCTAGGTTCGCAGCTCCGCGTTCCGCAGACATGGGCGTCCTTTCATCAACCAAGGTCCCCTGTGCCGAGCAGACAAACGGTCCCAGAGTCCACTTTAACAATGGGCAGACGCTTGAGTCAGAGTTTCGGGCAGTTGTGGATTGTGAGCGCTTATTTCGACGTACGCAATGTGCCAAGCTTTGTAGATTGAAACTCTGATTCCAGACCACAACACGGGAACATCTACTTGGCGAGGATCAGTGTGATCAAGGTTCGCGATAGTTATGGGCCGAGATGCCACGGTCTCTCGCGAGTCATTTCATTTGGACATAGAGTAGTCGCTAAATGACCCGCCATGAAACTTCACCGACTCTGCGAATGCTTTCCGCTTCTGCGCCGAAGTAGGAATGTCTACGGACAACCCGTCAAGGGAATAAGACGAAAGAGTGGATAGCCCGCAACAAACAGATTCAAAGCCTAGACAAATTGATTGCTTATCAATTTGTCTCGCATCTGGACTTTACCAAGCTCAGAGGGTCAAATGATGAAGAGGCACATTCTGACTGCTGAAAGAAGACACATTGGCCTGATCGAGCAAAGATTTTGCATTCCATTGCCCGGAGGAACCATTCGAACAGAGTATTGTTGTGCAAGGCTTGGGCGCTCAACCTTGGCGACCCCGGAACCGCCGGAACAACGAGTCTGCTCTGACACATAATATCGATCAGGATATCACCTGTCCTCAGTCCCTCCATGAAAATCGAACCCCGGAGATTCTCGCTCAACATTCACCCGTTGCGCTTCCTCCAACGCAAGGAGTTCCAGTACAGTTGAAGCCCTGCGGGTTCACAGCATTTCCACAAAGGTATGAAGTGGCAGCAGTCCCGTTGGCAAACTCCAGGTCGACATCGAAGAGACCGATGTTGGTGCAGGGTGCAACAGCACTGCATTGGAGACTAGCGACGCGGGATGACTTGGTCGTGCCGACCATACCGTCGACGGTGATATCACGGATCTGGAATTGCGAGTTTGTGCAGTTGCCTACCCCGGGGGCGCCGCGGAACCGAGTGCACTGGGAGATTGCAAACGCAGCGCCGCGCATGCCCTGAACGGTGAGGTTTTTGAAAGACATGTCCGATGCAACTGCAAAGTTAAGGTCATTAGGAGAAACACCATCGGAAGTGTTGCTGAGTGTTCAGAGGTCAGACTTACATCCAAGCCCGCCACCGCCACCATTAGGAGGGTAGCCGTTTTGATCATCCGTCCAGGTTTTGAAGTAAACCTGACGAGTTTGTCAGCACTGACGGGCTCTTCGGGTGTTCAAAGAGAAGGGCGAAGGAAACTCACAGCATGCAACGTGTTGTCAAAGAAGCAATTTTCGACATTCAGTCTCTCGATGGTCTCAAACTGGTCGTTGTATTGTCCGATACTGCCGAGCGCAATGCCCAAGCCATTGTAGAACTTGGAATTTGTGATGCTGACATCAGTGCTGTTTGCTTTGAGAGAGATGCTGTCATCGCCGCTGTAGACAGTCCAGTTATTGAACTTGATGCCGGAGGACCGGATCGTGTCGGCACCGTCCGTGTTAGCTATGCAAAGTCAGCAAGACTCATTTTTCCTGCCCAAGGCAGAGTCTAAAGCAAGGTGTCCTGGACATACAGCTTTGGAATCGGTTTCCGGTGTTGTTGACTAAGATGCTATCGAGGACGACGTTGTGAGAGTAGATGATGGACAAAGTCCTGCTAAACTTAGTGACGTCCACCTTTCACTATGGGAACATGTTCATACCACATCTGACTTCTCAAGAAGTTTACCCCCTTCACAACAGAGTTCCTCAGCCCGTTGAGAGTGAGAGCATGTGGGCGACCAGGATAGTTGGAAGTATTGGCCTGCTGTCTGATCCATTCATACCAGTAGTCGCCGTTGCCATCAAAAGTGCCTTGCCCATGGCCGTTGAGACGAACATTGTTGCCGCCGAGGATGAAGGCAGTGGACTGATTCTGATACCCAACATTTAGGGAGTTGGCGAGCCAGTACGAGATGTTCGTACTCCACTAACAGCCGGCAGTCTCACGTTAGCTGATCACCATAAAACGAAACTCTTGGTATTGTTTGGCTTGGCGCATCACTCAAATTGAACCAAGATCGGGAAGGGGGCCAACAAGCCTGCCGTGGAACGGTAACGTACCAGAAGCGTTCCCTGAAGATCAATCTCGACGTCGTCCAGCCAAGTGACATTCAAAGCGGAGTTGACATAGTATGTCGTTGGCTCGAACACGACCTTGCCGCGCCGGCCGCACTGCGTGAATGCCTCGAGTATAGCAGGCGCGTCGTCGGTCGTGTTGGTTCCGCTAGCTTTGATAACACAAGTCTTGCGTCCAGCGGCGTCTTCAGTCTCCTGGGCACAGACCCCGGAAGCTGAAGCAAGTAGAGTGCAAAGCACGCCAACAGCCCAGGTACGGCGCATGTTCAAACAACGTGTAACAGGTCCTTTGAGCTGAGAACAAGGGGTCCAGTGGCTGACGGTTGGAAGAGTGATGAGCAACAGGATTGGCTCAGAACATCAGCTGAAAGACAGAAGACCTTAGCGCTACCTCCCACCGGCAGACCGCGACGGCGCCCGAGGATTGAATACTTTCCTAGCATCGTCAAATCGGGCTTTTCCCGGCCGAGTCCCCGCGACATCAGCGTCGTATTTACTCGGTCGCACTCAACTCTCGCGCCGGATTCCTTGGGGCCAGCATCGGAGTTACATCGTTGCCGTTCGACCGGGTGGATTTTGCACGAATCATGAAGGAGAAGGTATGCGAAGGCCTGGAGATCTCCACGTTCATGACTAAGTTTGTACGGTGTCGATCGGTTAGCGGTTGAAAATGTGGAGGCGGGGTGATGCGGGGAAAGCATCTTCCCGGTCTCTTATTGCGGAACGGGAATGGCTTCAACGAACATACATCTTTCTAGCCCGTAACGTACCTATGGCAACTATTGTGAGAGCTGTGCCAAGAGTCGGGAATGAAGTGACTGACAACGCAATATCGTCTGGATTATTCACTTTCGGCGGTGGGCTTTCAATGTCGGACTTGCAGTTGTACACTGCGCTTTATGTTAGATCGCCTCGGAACTCCATGGTGACAAGTACCCGGCGGATTCAGAGGGCGGGTGTGAATCGCACTTGTCAACAGGCTAGAATTCCCCTCAAATGGATTTCTTACCTATGGATGGCAAAGAAGTGAGACTACCCTCCCACCCCACAGTTTTGTGAGTGACGAGGGCGGTAGAGGCTCTCTTGAATAGGAGCGCCAGCGAACGGTGCTGATGTAGCTTTTGAGCTATTGTTTTGAAAGTGCTCTCTCCGTACGGCAGTGACCTGGCACCTAGTGGGTCGGTTGCATCCAGCCTAGGATGCATCACAAGCACCAAACCTGGCAGCTCAAGAGGTGACTTCTCCTATGATGAAGGTGATAAGCAGACCAGCCCTGGTGGAATAAAGAACCATTTGCTCAAGGTACTTACTTTTTCTAGCCATTTGAGAAATGCATCTTCTTCTGTGAAGTCTGAGACATTTGGCTTTGACACGCGATTAACTTTAGCTGGGCTAGACTAAAGAAACATAAAATGAACCAATAACTCACATGTTTGTCAGGCTTTCGTAAAGTCACAGTCCGTATCTTGAAAGGCTCTTCCGGAGAAAATTCAAGAGATTTCAAGTCTCTTTTGAGGAGGTGTGATCTTTGACTGATCCATTCCATCGTGGCAACGATTGATACACGACTTCAGCATCTGAATCTATGAGGGAACAGGCAAAGCGTTTTCACGTTGTTGGGCACTTGCTTCAGCTTATACTTGAATGGTGAGACAACTGCACGACTTGCCAGCCAGAGATTCTGGCGTGCATCAGCCCGCCCATCAGCGTGTGTAGCATTGATACCCAAAGGTCCGGACTAGTGTAAACGGCAATTTCTTAGCCCCTGATGCGCCTGGAACTCTATCTGGATCAAAGGTTCACACTTGTATTTTGCCATTATACCTGCGCCATGATGACTGCAGATGCACTCAACCAGGCCAATCAGTGCTATATCCGCTCCAGTCCTTCATGTAACTTGATGGGCTGTTGTTGGCTGTACTACTGCATGAACAGCAACACTGACAATATGAGCCTAGTGGTGATATAGGACATACCGAGCCTCACTCATGATACGACACACAGCCTGCTGTTTTAGCGCGACTGAAGGTATTGGGGGTAATGCACGCGCACTCAAGTCATATTATGATACCTACCTTATCCGACGGCCTGTGCTGACACCCTTTTGCTCACCGGAGGAAGTACATGTGATGATGAGCCATTTGCTTAGCTATGGCGCCATGCATTCGCGCGCCTGAAAATATGCCTCTAGAACCCAGCCACTCACTTATCTGGCTGACACCGAAGCCACCTTCAATGGTTCGCAAAACCAAGAACTGCACTTTGCCTCGCTGGAGCCTGGCGAGCACACAGCTCTGATGACCAAAGTGTGAGAATTTGAAGCATGCGCACCCTCTTTGTATAACTCGCGAAGTCTTCACCAGACAACAAATTCTTTGGTTTGGAAACTTGTATTTGTATTCTGAAAAGCCCCGTTGTTGCCCATGGATGATACAAATATCCGATCTTGGGCATCAAGGCTCAAGAGCTACATCCCGACCTTCGGCAAACGAGACAAAATGGCCAAAACCGAAGAGTTTGTCGCGACCGACACGATAATTGATCGATATGCGGACAAGAAGGTTTTGCAAAAAACGCTTTTGGGTTTCAAGTTTCCCAAGGACACGATCAAAGTGAAGGTAAGATGTCGCCGAGTTCATCGCTTCCTGTCCCGTCCTTTCTCACGCAAGTAACTGACTGATTCTTGCTTTAGGCAACGAAAGCCGACTGCCTCGAGGTTCAACTTCCTCGAAAGTTGACCCCAGTGAGTCTAGATATCTCTTGACTAGATGAGACATCGGATCTCTATCAAGTCATATCATTATCTAACCCAAGTACTCACCATAAAACTAGGAGGAAACAGAAAAGATTCATGCTGCCCTCAAGAAGGCCAAGGAGGTGGATTCTGAAGAAGAGTGAACTCTATCTTGACACTTGCAGTGATGAGCATCAACCTTGGGCGCTTTGTCTGCCCTTTTGGGCATGATGCCGGATCGAGATGACATATTGGCCATATGGTCGACGAGTGGGGGTTGTGCGTCTGCATGACGCCCCCTCTCGGCTTTCACCATAGGCAGCTAGATAGACGTTCATGGGAATGAAATACATGTGAATAATTATTTCCAAATCCACGGCAACAAAGCCCGCTGATAATAAGTGCAATCTTTCACCAACTCCAAACAATACGAGCATGCAGTGCATTCCACTGCCTCCTCAGACTTGCCGTGTGCAAAAGTGAAGCGGGGATTCCCAATCCTTGAGTGCCACGTCTCTGCCGTATCTCGCATATCCAAGGTTGAGGTGCTGTAACATCCGGTCCTACACATTGCAGCTGCAGGCTTTCCGGAACCACCAACGAAAACCTTGATTCATTCGTCCATGAACGTGCCAGTCGGGTGGAGGCTTCGAGTCTGGACTCTCTGCTCTTCGAAGCTCTGCTTCCACACTTGCAGGACATCTCGAACCTCATTCGACGTCGCCCGTGCACTATCGTCGATGAGCAGCATTCTCGACTGGACGAGACTTAGAAATCTCTCCAAATCCTCTGTGCATCGTGCATGGGCGCGGAGATGTTGGAATTGCTGACAATAGATTTCAATCAGCAACACCAATCAGGCATAATCGTGGGTCATTTGATGTTGGAGCACTCACCGAAATAACTGAGGGCTTTAAATCTGCAACAATGGTCCGGGGAACTCTTCTTGGCCACCACCATGTCCCTCGTTGCACCCTCTTCTTAAAGAAAGTATCTTCCAGTACCGGAGGGAACTCCAGGTCGACATCGATCTCATCTGTCTCCTGGAGGCGTTTTTCGCTGAAGCTCTCGACCCCGCTCCACCCTTCTACCGCCCAGGTGATGAAATCGAGAAATAAGCATCCCAAGCACCATATATCGAACGACTCATCCACCGCGTATCTCTCGAGATCTCTTTCAGGCGGCCGGTATGTCTTTGTCTCCGCCTTTTGCGTCGGACGTGTTGAAGAATTCCTATTGAAAGGTTTAGATAGACCAAAGTCCGTTAGCTTTAAATCGTACGAGACTTTGCCATTTTCGGACTTTCGGAAGCAGACAACATTCTCCGGCTTGATGTCGAGATGAAGTTGGGCTTCGGAAGAGTGCCCCCCTTCACGGGAATCATAGCCATGAACCGTGGCTAAGGCGTCGGCTATGTAGTAGCATTGGTCTATCATCCATCGAACTGAGTACCAAGACGGACAACGCTCAATAGATTCATGATGTAAGTCGTGCTTTCTCCATAGGTCATAGAGACTGTCGCCGTCAGCCCAAGGGAATAGGAGATAATATCTCTTTCGGTGTTTGAAGGCAGAAAGCAGTGGAGTTATACGGGGATGGGTTGTTCTTTGGTTGGCAGCAATCTCATCCATGAAAGAAGTCTCCGCAGCCTTGGTCGTGTGCTCCTTGTCGGTGATCTTTAAAGCAAAATGCTCTACAAGTATTTCCGCTTGCTAAGATACGAGAAGTTATTAGCAAATATGGCCCGAGTAGTGATCAATCCGATCTTCAAACTTGCATCTGAGAAGTCGTGATGATCTCGGTGAATCTTGATTCTTTGCACAAACGAGACTTGGCCGTCAAGTATTGCCCCCTGCATGTTGAGCTCCGACCACGGCAACGTGACTTCATCATGCAATAGGTGGTAAGGCTGCTTGTTAGAGCTTGTATCCGATTTACTGAAATACGGAGACCTCATATGCCATTGCAGCTGGTGGAATAGCTCCTCATTATGCGCGTCTAGGGCTTGCAGGACTTCCCGAAGGGCCTCAGCAGCACGAGAAAAGTAAGTTGGCAACGTCGGATCGCTGCATGGCCATGCTCCGTCGCAAATATGAACCGAAGATTGGTAAATATTCAATATCAATTCCTGTTTCCCAAGTAGGAATAATGTCGCGAATATGATTCTCAGTCCCGTACACAAAGCGTCGTCACAACGACATTTTTTGTGCTTGTTGGGACTAATGAAACTTGCAATATCGGCAACTTTAGTCTTATCGGAAGGAATAAATGTGCCTAACAAGCCTGATACCTTCTCATGGTCGAATTGGGAAACTATTTTGCCTCGTGGAACGAACCGATTGCGTTTGTCGTTTAGATCTTGGCGTGAAGCACGTAAGAGGATGCAGGCGACATCGTCCCTAGCGACACCGACGTCAACTGGCTGTGACATTAGGCCAGCTCGGTTTTCGAGACCCAGACTCGTCATAGAAATCTGTAAGGTATTTCTTAGCGGCCTGGAATGACTTGGAAATCCGATAAGTGCAGAAAGATTGCTTCTTAACCCGTAACAGGCAGGGACATCCGCATGAAGCACAACAGTGGATAATACACCGTTGTTGTTGTTGTTGTTGTTGTTGTATTTAACGCCGTGGCGGCCGGGCTAGAGCCCTTACCGCAGACCTCCCGAAGGGTATATGGCGTGGAGGGCCGTGAGCCAAGGCTACCTACTCTACAGTACGTCGTCTCTTTACATCGTCCTCCAAATCATGCCTTGTGGCCACTACGCGTTCTGTCTGTCCCCGGTTCCCGCTGGTGCCCCAGTTTCATTCTTTCCCAAATCGTCCCTTGGAATCGGGAGGTTCTTTGTAGTCCGCACTCACATCTACCTAGGTGTGGATGCTGCTACCGCAGACAGATCTTCTGGAAGAAGTCCGTCACGCGGAGAAAGGCCTCGAAGCCTCGTGGGTCGGTGATTAATCTCTTGAAGTAGGCCTCGAGAGATCCCATAGGACCTATGGGCTCGGGCATACTGCGAGAGTGGAGGGTCGGCCACCGTTGCCTCCTCGCCAGCGTTAGTCGACAGTAGACCAGGTGGTCCACGTCTTTCGCCTCTCCACAAGAGCACATCATTAGAGCGTCGTCGTGGTTGAAACGTCGGTGATATTGCTCGAAGTCCCCGTGACCCGATCGTGCCGCCAGCAGGTGATGTAACGTAGCCCGCGGCAAGGCCAGTTCAGGAGGGCTGGACAGAGCTGCCTCAAGCCCCAAGTCCGCGTACCGCGGCCTTCGCTCTTTATACCACCATCTCCTGTGCTGGCTTTGTAATTTTTCCCTTGCAAGCCGCTTGATGCCCGCTAGTGTTGCCATTTGACCCATCCGCGCCGGCAGTGTCGTTCCTTCTTTGGCCAGCCGGTCCGCGGCCTCGTTTCCTTCGATGCCCTGGTGTCCCGGGGACCAGTGCGTCCGTATATCAAATATCCTGGCCGCTTCTTGGATTTCGAGGAACGCGTCTTGTGACGAGTCCGGCGCCTTGCCGCGGATGCCTTGTATAACGCTGGTGTTGTCGATACATATGTGGATTGGATGACCGCGATTGGTGAGCAGAGCCCTTCTGAGGCCGGTTCGCGCCCCTTCGACCTCGGCGTCGAACACTTCTGCTAGTCCGAGTCGGCCGCACCCTTGCGCTATGCGTTTGGAGTCTCGGTAGATGACGAAGCCGTACCCCACGGCTCCGTT